TTTACGGGGTGTACATCGGCGCGAAAGGCGCGATGCTCGGCAATAGGCGATTCGATGTAGACGCGGATGACTCCATACTCATAGATGAAATTAAATACATCGGTACCCCCAGTTTGTACAAATTGATCTTTATGAAAAATCCTGATAGTCTCACGTACACGGAAAAGGATAAATTAACGTACAAGAGTATATTGTTAACAACGAACGCTCATAAACGCGACCATGACACGCTAGAAAATCTGTCTTAGGGAATAAGGGATACAAATACAAGTTCGTTATCGCTCCGCTTATCCACGGCAGCGGCGCGAAAAAGACGGGCGCGGGTCGCGTACCGTCGACCATGCGAGTTACACGGACAATAGAATCGATTACGTTCATTGGGACGATCCGAACGAATAAGTGGATCGTCTGCGATTATTGGACGCTTCGCGTCGAGCCGGCAACGCTCACGAAAACGAGATTCTATCGATAATCGAAGAGCTTCGCGAGACGGGAGCGATCGTATAAATCGAACCATCGCGTCGACGACCGTCGCAGTCGTACGAGGGATTCGCGATGTCTGTGAGCAAATTCGGCACACCTATAAAAATCGCGGCTACGACGCGAGGACCGGAAGATTATGTCCGACTCTCTAGTTTCTGCGAAATTACTTGCGCGATAACGCGCTGTGTATAAGCTCTTCCGTTGAGTGCGACGCGAGAGAGCGCAAGATAAAACGCTTTGCTCAGCCGGAGGAGGACGCCGACGCGACGAGCAAATGCTACGTCGAGAGAATTACGTCGCAATTAAGAAAAGACGTAAACGAGGTGGGGCAAAGTGTCATCTTGCTGTTCACGAGACTCACCTAGCTCGATAACGTTCTGAGTAAACGAATAGACGCCGCGGAGTTTTGTTTCCAGGATCGAAGCGCGCGACTACGCTCTGAGTAAACGGATAGACGCTGTGGAAAATTCCGTTTCGAGAACAGAAGCGAGCGCTAACGATCTAGGTAAACAGATCGATGCTTTGGATAAACGGATTAACGCTTTATGCGAACGGATCGATGCCGCGAAAAATACGATATCGCGGCGGAGTCCTCGACGAGAAGAGCGAGCAATCATAAAATACTGTTCAATCAGAGTAAAATAATACAGGAACTAACCCAAAAATCGCATGTCGCGGCAAATTCCGCGGCGAAGATACGAGAATTGGAAAATTCAGCATCGCGATTGAAGAGAGACGCGGACGAGCTATCGGGGAGAGTGAGAGAACTGGCGAAGATTCGCAAAAGTGGCGACGACGCTCGGAGCGGCAAGCCACTCAAGAGAGAGATCCCACCCAACGAAAACTAGTCGAAGAGTTGCATGCGCCCGCGAGAAGAAACTTCCCGCGTCGTCGCGTCGCGGTACACGGGTACGACGACCTGTGGCAGGCGAATGTGGTCGAGATGCGTCCTTACGCGAGACTCAACAAAGGCCATAACTACCTACTCACCGTTATCGACGCGTTAAGCAAATACGCGTGGGCTGTACCGCTTAAGAGCAAGAGCGCGAACGAGGTTACCCGAGCGTTATCCAAGATAGTGCGAGACTCTAAGCGGTGTCCGAAAAATCTGCAGACCGACAAAGGAAAGGAATTTCGCGAAGTTCGCGGAAAAGCGCGAAGTGAATCATTACTTGACGTAATCGGTGATGAAGGCGTCGATCATCGAACGATTCAATCGCACGCTCAAAAATTCTATGTGGAAGTACTTCACGCTGAGCGGAACGTACAAGTGGATCGACGAGTTACCTCGGCTCGTCGAGGAGTACAATACGCGAAAATATCGCACTATAGCAGTGCTCGGATTTAATTGCACATTTCGGCCCGATTCCGTGGCTCACGCCTATTGCCCCCCACTCACCGCTTGTGCGTTAGCGACGAGTCGCCAGATACGCGTAACTAAGGAGCGCGACGTTTTGTTTCAGAAGCTTCCGTATATAAGAATGCCCAAATATAATAATAAGACAATACTTTTCCATAAATAAAAGTTTTTCTTCAATATTTTATATCAATGAAATATAAAATATTGAAGAAAAACTTTTAATTTTGAGAATTTTCGCGATGCATTTAGAAAAGTATTGTCTTACTATTATATTTGGACATTCTTATATACGGACGCTCCTGAGACAAAGCGTCGCGCTCCTTAGTTACGCGTATC